GGGTTGTCCCCAGATAACCTGGCCTCGGAGCTGCAGAGCAGTCTGGGGCTCATCGAGACCATCACGGGCTTCCTGAAGATCAAGCACTCCTTCGCCCTCGTCTCCTTGTCCTTCTTCAAGAACCTCAAGCTGATCCGTGGTGACTCCATGGTGGACGGGTGAGGACAGGGCGTGTCTGGGGGGGACGTGTGGCTCTGGGGGTGCCCGTGCCCACCGCCTCCATCTGCACTTTCCCCCCCAGGAATTACACCTTGTACGTCCTGGACAACCAAAACCTGCAGCAGCTCTGGGACTGGAGCCACCACATCCTCTCCATCCCCGTGGGCAAGATGTACTTTGCCTTCAACCCCAAGCTGTGCCTGGCCGAGATTTACCGCATGGAGGAGGTGACGGGCACCAAGGGGCGGCAGAACAAGGCCGAGATCAACCCCCGCACCAACGGGGACCGCGCGTCCTGTGAGTGACGGGCATGGGGACAACCGGCAGTGCCGTGACCCCCTCCCTGCCCGAGCCCTGCCTCCGCTCCACAGGTAAGACCCAGACCCTGCGCTTCATCTCCAACGTCACCGAGTCCGACCGCATCTTCCTCAAGTGGGAGCGGTACCGGCCCCCCGAGTACCGGGACCTCCTCAGCTTCATCGTCTACTACAAGGAGTCGTGAGTGTTTGCCATCCCCACCGGGGGGGTCGTCCACTGTCGGGGGGGGGACCCAGTGGTGGGAACCCAAGCCAGGACAGGGAGTCCATGGGGTCCCCTGTGTCTGGGGTGAGGATCCGGGGCAGAACAGGGATGTCTGGTGAAGGGGTCCCTGATGTCAGGGCATGAACCTTGGGCAGAATGGGGTGCCCTGGGCTGTCCTTCATATTCTGGGTGATCCTGGAGCAGGATAAGAGGGCTCAGGGAAGGGTCGTCAAAGGGGGCGCTGGGGCAGGATGGGTGAGGTCCTCAGTACCCAAGGGGGGACCTGGCACATGACCGGGGCACCCAGGGGTGTCAGCAGTGTCTGGTAGGACCCAGTGTCCAGGGGTGGACCCCGGGGAGAAACCTGTGGGGAGTTCCAGTGTGGAGAATGGGGACTCCAGCCCGTGATGTCCTTGTGCCCTGGTGGGCTGCTGGAACCCCCAGGGAGTTGTGTGGCTGGGAAGGGTCCCAGGGCCTTCCCTGATGCCCAGTGTGGGACAGACCCTTCCAGAACGTGTCAGAGTACGTGGGGCAGGATGCCTGTGGGGCCCAGAGCTGGAACGTGCTGGACGTGGATCTGCCACTCAGCAGTGACCAGGAGCCAGGGGTGGCCCTGCTTAACCTCCGCCCCTGGACCCAATATGCCATCTTCGTCCGTGCCATCACCCTCACCACCGCCGAGGAGGGACGCAACTACGGGGCACAGAGCGAGGTGGTCTACATCCGCACCATGCCGGCGGGTAAGGGGCTGGTAGGGGCCGGGGATGCCTGTGGTAACCCCCCCCAAAGAAAGACCGACACCCTCTGTCCACCCAGCCCCGACGGTGCCCCGGGATGTCATCTCCATGTCCAACTCCTCCTCCCACATCGTGGTGCGCTGGAAGCCGCCCACGCAGCGCAACGGCAATA